TATTGTTAGTACTAAGGGAAGCCACTGAAAAGCATAGTTTGTTTTTCAGGGGAATTGGAGAGAAGTGGAAAATTTTGACATATGTTTTGATAGTTTCAGTCCCTCTGGGTGTTGGGTGCATGGGAAAGAGATGAATCAAGGATTACACCTACTATTTTTACTCTGTTTCTTTCACAGCACCTATGGTAATTATTTCCTAGACTTTTTTTTTTTTCCTGTTTGTCTATTTCTCCAATTAGGTCCACATCTACTTTTATTCTGATGCTCAATGTAAATTATTTCTCTGCTAAGGATCATTTAGGTTATTCCCAAATTTTGCTCTTTTCAATAAAAAAAAGCTACAGTGTTCACACACATGTCTGTGCATTTCCCTAGGATAAAAAGGTAGAATTGAAAGGGCAAGGCATAAGTATACATTATAACTTTCTTTTCTGAAACGGAGTCTCACTCTGTTGCCCAGGCTGAAGTGCAATGGTGAGATCTCGGCTCACTGCAACCTCTGTCTCCTGGGTTCAAGCGATTCTCCTGCCTCAGCCTCCCAAGTATCTGGGATTACAGGCATGTGCCACCGTGCCTGGCAAATTCTGTATTTTTAGTAGAGATGGGGTTTCGCCATGTTGGCCAGGCTGGTCTCAAACTCCTAACCTCATGTGATCCTCCTGCCTTGGCCTCCCAAAGTCCTAGGATTACAGGTATGAGCCCCCACATCAGGCTTGTTATAACTTGATGAATATTGTCAAATTGCTCACTATAATCGTACCAATTTACATTCCCACCCATGTCATGTAGGGGTATCTTTTCTCTATACTGTATGTACTAATAACATCATTTGTAGAAATTTTTATAAGACTGGCAGGCAAAAATGATATCTTATTAAAATTTGCATTTAAAAATATTTGAGAAGATACTTTTATTTTTAGCTTTATTTATTGCCATTTATAATTGTTCTCTAGTGAATTGCCTAATATAATTTACTCACTTAAGTTGTTGTCTTTTTGTTACTGGTTTTATTATTAGTGGTGCACCTGTATGAGTCTGCAGCAAACTTGATCCTTGCCTCCTTGGAAGAAAAAAATCAGCTGAGGGACAGAAGTAGATTTAAGGCAGAGGGAGAGACTGAAGCAAGCTTTAGAGCAGGAGTGAGAGTTTATTAAAAAGTTTTAGAGAAGGAGCAAAAGAAAGCAAAATCACTTGGAAGAGGGCCAAGGGAACAGCTTAAGATATCCAAGTGGCCCGTTGAAACCTTGGCTTGGGATTTTTATACATTGGCTTGGTTTCAGGGTTTGCATTTTGGGGCTGGCTCTCCACATGTGCAGTGGCCTGCCAACACCTGGGAAGGGCCACACACAAAGGGTCACATACTGAGGTTGTGTGCATGCTGTCTAGGGTTGATTTTCCTTTACCAGTCAAAATCCCCGAGGAAGGTCATACATTTGCCATTTTGCCTCTTAATGCACATGCTTGAGCCTGCTCACCCAACGAGTGAGATCTTATCAAGGAAGCTGCTAATCACCAGCTACAGGTGTTTTCTGTCTATCGGGAGATTGTCTCCCTCTGGCTCTGGCTGTAACCAATTCTTATTACGGAGTCACCTGACATTCCAAGGGGTGGGCCCTCTCCTTTCCTGTTCATGTATGACATGAAAGTAACTCTTTATCTGTTGCAGCTATTACAAATGTTTCCTCCCATTGTGTATTCTGTTAACTTTTTCCATGCAGAAAGTTTAACTTTTTAAAGCAAATCTACTATTTCCCTTATAGCTTGTCACACTTAGGCTTACCTCACCTCATAATTGTTGAATATACTTTTCTCTGTTTCTAATATAAAGTTATCGTGGTGTTTTAGCTTCAGGATGTATTAAAAATCTACTTTTGGCCGGGTGCGGTGGCTCAAGCCTGTAATCCCAGCACTTTGGGAGGCCAAGGCGGGTGGATTACGAGGTCAAGAGATCCAGACCATCCTGGTCAAAATGGTGAAACCCCATCTCTACTAAAGATACAAAAAATTAGCTGGGCATGGTGGCGTGTGCCTGTAATCCCAGCTACTCAGGAGACTGAGGCAGGAGAATTGCCTGAACCCAGGAGGCGGAGGTTGTGGTGAGATCGCGCCATTGCACTCCAGCCTGGGTAACAAGAGTGAAACTCCGTCCCAAAAAAAAAAAAAAAATATGCTTTTATTTACTGTGGGGTAGGCAGTAAACTTAATTTTTCAAAATAGAGAAATGATAACAAAAAACACCATTTAAAAAATTCTCAGGCCAGGCGCGGCGGCTCATGCCTGTAATCCCAACACTGGGAGGCCAAGGCGGGTGGATCATGATGAGGTCAAGAGATTGAGACCATCCTGACCAACATGGCAAAACCCCGTCTCTGCTAAAAATACAAAAATTAGCTGGGTGTGGTGGTGAGTGCTTGTAGTCCCAGCTACTCGGGAGGCTGAGGCAGAAGAATCGATTACACCTGGGAGGAGAATGGCTTGGGCTGGGGAGGCGGAGGTTGCAGTGAGCTAAGATTGCACGACTGCACTCCAGCCTGGCACCTGGCGATGAAGCGAGACTCCTTCTCAAAAAAAAAAAAAATCTCATTCATTTGAAATGATAGTACTATTTTAGTCTAAGCTTCCCTTTATGCTTGGGTTTGGTTCTGAACTCTCTTCTGTTCTTTTGATCTCATCGCTTATTACTGGACTAATAACTTTATTTTAATAAATATATTATTAAATGTATTTTAATATACATGTCTACTCAAGCATATATGTTAAATATATTTCAATATATTTCAATATGTATTTTTATAACATTTTTCTTCAAAGCGCATTTGGCAAATTTTGTGTATTTCTTCTTTATATAGATTTTATAATCAATTTGTCAAATGCTTCTCCATCCTACTTCTCTGCCATATTATATTATATTTGATTAGAATTACATGGAATTTATTCTAATTTAACTTGGGAAGGAATTTGAGTGCCGTACACTACAAAGTCTACCTTTCTATGAAAATCTGGTATGAATGTGCTAGAGTTAAAATACTTAAATTTTTTTTTTCTTATTCATTGATGGTTTCCGTCTCCTTGAACTCAAACCATCAAATATTGCTTTCCCAAAGGGTCTTTCAGATTGCTACCCACAGGTACACAATAAAATGTTAGCTGTTAATGAAGGTGCTGGCTGATAATTGGGAAGTAAGTTAGAGACAGGTTATTTCTTACTCTTTGGCCTCTGACTGAGTCTTTTGACTTCCCCTGATCTGCCTTGGCCCTGCAGTGTGTGCTTCCCAGACTTCTGGAGGCAGTAGTGGGAGATGCGGGGCCAGAGGAGAGGAGGAATCTGGAACTTCTCTCCCTTCTTCCCTGACTCACACAGCAGCTCCACCAACAGCTGTGTCCTCTCCATGGCTCTGCTATTGTCTGAGAGGCTGGCTTTGATTCCAGCCTCTGCAAGTGGCCACTGGGTTTTTGTTATTTGGTTTTTTTTTTTTTTTTTTTTGAGACAGAGTCTCACTCTGTTGCCAGGTGCCAGGCTGGAGTGAAGTGGCGCAATCTCGGCTCACTGCATCCTCTGCCTCCCGGGTTCAAGCAATTCTCCTGCCTCAGCCTCCCAAGTAGCTGGGACTACAGGGTCACACCACCACGCCCAGCTAATCTGGTTGAGCCCTCAATGATACACATATTTTCAAAGGTGTTTTGAATTCAGAAAGACATGGGACGAATTTTCATAACAAGTCTATGAAGCATATGGTGTAGTTAGGTCCACTGGGAGAATTTCAGGCAGGACACCTGTTGTGGGGCCGAGATTCTGTAGTTGGTAGCAAGGAGGAAGAGAAGAAGGAGGTTGGTGAGGAAGACAGAGAGGAAAAACTCTGTAATTTAACACCCAATTTGTAACAGTGACCATTCTAGGTACTTTCAAACAACAGTCTTGCACGGTAGATACTATTTCCATTTCTATAGATGAGAAAGCACAGATGCATGCACATACACAGATGTCATACTGTAAGTAGCCAAGCCATGGTCTACGTACACAATTTTGCTTCTGAAATCCAGAGAAACAAATATTTTATAGTATTGCAGTGGTGAAATTCATATTAAATAGACAACTGTTTCCTAGTACTCCTGCTGTCCTGCCCACACTGACCACTTGGGAGGGCCAGAAATTGCTCTTTACTCTGCCTGGGCCTCTGTCTACCTGTTGGCTACGAAGCCTTGGCCACGCCTATAAAGTCTTGTTTATTACAGCATCTGATTTTGATTATCAGTAGTTTTTTATCTTTAAAGAACATTATTCGCTAATGTTTCTTTAAACGTTTTTTAAAATCTAATTTTACTCTTTCTCAACTCAAACTGAAAGTGGGTCAAAGTAGGCCCTAGATGTTTAGACTTGCTCAAGATAATGAAATAGGCAACATTTATAGCTGGGGATCTCTTTTGATTTCTAGGAGTTTTTCCCTTTGTTTTGACATCCCTTACCTAAGGTGCTATACCACTTCAGGCCAGGAGGCTCCATTTGCTTCTGTCTTTATCTTTTGCCTTTTATCAAAATTCAGCCTTGTGAGTTTCATCCTCTGACTTGATAATGGGAGATGATTGAATGAGTTCAAAATTCACCCCGGAGAAAGTATGAGGCTAAAGTGTAATTTTCTCAGGTAACTCAGTGCCTTCACAGACTTAAAATGTGTTTTTTCCCCCTATAAGACCCATCAAAGCTGTTGCGGTGGTGGAGATTATAGTAATTCCATGGGTGAGGTGGGAGAGCCTTTCAGAGAAAGGGATCTTTGACTTCAGACCCAGGTATGGCATTTAGTTCTATCTGCTCCACTCATGGGTTGTATCTGGATCTTAGTTTTTATACAAAATGTGGTTTTTAAGCCATACTTTAATGTAGCCTTCAGTTCCATGAGAATTTTCTGGGGCAGGGGCAGGGGCAGGGCTTGATGGAAGAAAACACACATACAAGTGTGACTTATGAAATTTTGTCATACATTGAACAATGAATTTTTTTTTTTCAGAGCTAGCTGAGGTTTTATTTTGGACCAAGAAAAAGCAATTGAATTGTTTTGTAGCTGGAGGCATGGGCAAGGGGGGGTTCCCAGGGAGTAAACTCCTCCGCAGGTGGGCTGAGGGCTAGGGCTGAGCCTCAGGGGGTCTCCTGTTCCCTGTATTCCCCTGCACAGGGGCCTCCTTCCTCGGCTCTGGGGCAGGCTGGGAGGGGCTGCTGTAGCTGTTCACTTGGTCAGGACAGCAGAGGACTCGGACTCCAGCTTCCCATTGCGGGTCTTATCTTCTTCACAACCATGGCCCTGGTAGAGCCGGTACGGCTGAAAGAGCTGGAGTCAGGGCCGTAGCTGAGGCAGGAGCTTGTGAGGCCCCCATAGGTCGAGCTCAGACCACCTGCATAGCTGCTGGTGGTCTTCATGTGGATACTCATGTTCTGCATCCTAGACTCCAGCCAGCTCTCCTTGCCCTCCAGCAGCTTCCTATAGGCGGCGATCTCAATGTCCAGGGCCAGTTTGACGTTCATCAGCTCCTGGTACTCACGCAGCTGCCGTGCCATGTCCCGCTTGGCCTGCTGCAGGGCGGCCTCCAGCTCAGACAGCTTGGCATTGGCATCCTTAATGGCCAGCTCCCCACGCTGCCAAGCATCTGTGATGGCGGCCTCCAGGGAAGCCCCTCTGGCCTTTCAGGCCCTGTCTCAGCCTGGAGCCAGCTGATGTTCCGGTTCATCTCAGAGATCTCAGTCTTTGTACCCTGCAGGTCATTCTCGTGTTTCCCAGCCTGCATCTGTAGCTCCTATACTTGATCTGGTACATGCTCTCAGCCTCGGCCGGGCTGTGGTTGGTGATCTCCTCATACTGTGCCCTGACCTCAGCGATGGTGCTGTCCATGTCGGGGGAGTGGCTGTTGTCCATGGAAAGCACCACAGACATGTCTGGGATCTGGGACTGCAGCTCCCGGATCTCCTCTTCACACAGCTGCCTGAGGAAGCTGATCTCATCAGTTGGCCCTTCCAGGCGAGACTCCAGCTCTACCTTGTTCATGTAAGCTTCATCCACATCCTTCTTGATGAGGAAAAATTCGTCCTCCATCTCTGTATGCTTATTGATCTCATCCTCATACTTTTTCTTGAAGTCCTCCATCAGCCCCTGCATTCTGCCACTCTCCAACTCTAGCTTCAGCTTCCCCTGGCCCAGAGTCTCCAGTTGCTGCCTCAGGTTGTTGATGTAGCTCTCGAACAGGTTGTTGTGTTGCTCTGAGCCATCTTCTGCTGCAGGAGGCTCCACTTGGTCTCCAGCATCTTGTTCTGCAGCTCCAGGAACCTTACCTTATCTATGAAGGAGGCAAACTTGTTGAGTGTCTTGATCTGCTCCTTCTCCCAGGTGCACACAGACTGGATGTTGGGGTCCACCTCTAGGTTAAGGGGGCTCAGCAGGCTCTGGTTGACTGTGATGGCAGTGATGCCTCTCATGCCGCTGGCTCTACCATGACCTCCACCCAAGCCACCCCAGAAGCTGCTGCTGCCCACTCAAGAGAAGCTCGAGGAGCTGATGTGGGCACCGGGCCTCACTCGTGTAGGAGCGGCTGCTGAAGGCCTGGAGGCCAGAGGTGGACACCTTGTAGGACCTCTGGGCCACCCTGATGGACATGGTGGAGGCAGGAGTAGAGGCAGGTGGGCTGAACCAGGCTGAGATTCCAGAAGGACTGCAGAAGCTGCTACTTGGTGTACAATGATTTTATCAAGCGTCACGGAACTCTTGAGCTTGATGTGTCTCCTAACATTCCAGCATCTGTGTGCTCATACCTCCTTGCGTCTGAGTTTGAGAGTAGCCATACTGCACACTGGCACATTGCTTAGCAGGACAGAATTTTCAGCTGGAGTTCCCATGGATTAGCCATGGTGGATTTGGCTTAAGAGAGCTCTTCTGTTGGAAAGGCAGTAAGATGGGCCAAGGAGGCAGAAGCCTAGTTCCGATTCTCCTACTATACCAGACAGGTTCTTTCACTTGAGTGCTCTTCTATTTTACTTCTCAGTAGATGAAACACTTAGACTTGAAACATTTAGAACCTCTTCTTGGGTTCCTTCCACTGTTTGCGGGACTCGGGGGAATAGTAGTTCTGCTTTAACTACTGCTTTATTGATTTCCCTTTATGCACAAGCAATTCCTCAGCAGCAAAGGGGTCTGAAGAGAGCACGAACGGCAGATCACTTCTTTTTCGTGGTGCAGCCAGGCATCTCTAGCATTCCAGCAAGCCCCCAGCACTCTTCTTCCTCCAGCCAGGGAGTAGTGCCAGCCTAATTAGGTAAAAATCCAGAGAATGCAGGGGGTTGAGGAAGGGAGGGGCAGATGTGTGGAGTGATACCCTCACAGCTCAGTGAGGGGTGGAGTCTGTCTTGCTCACCGTGGCATTCTTGATTCCTGCACTGAGATGAGCATAGAGTGGGTACTCAGTAAGTACTTGTTGAATGACTGAAGCTTTAACTGTGGCAGGAAGATGCAGATGTAACTGCAAACTCAAGGTTACTTTTATCTCTAGTAGGTTGTGATATAGGTTAAATTTCCCTGGGTATATGAAATAGTATATTTCTGTTTTCAAATAGAATACACTGAGTTCCCAAATCCTCTGGGGTTTACAATCTAGAAGCTTCACTGGCAGTTCTAGAGCAAGGGTATCTAACCTTTGGTGCAATGATTATTGACTATTTAAATAGCAACTTCAATAACATCACTGATTGCAAACTCTTCTCATCGCTTTTGAGATACTCAATGACAGAGCATTATAAAAGATTTAAATTGACTTAAAACTTCCCCATTGATTTGGAATTAGAATCTTACATTTTTTAAAAAGTCTTCTGACCTTGAAAATTCTTGCATCTTGACATTTCATTTATTTATAAATCCATTTATTCAATATACATATATATTTTTTTTCTTCCAACTTCTATTTTAGGTTCAGGGGTACATGTGCTGGTTTGTCACATGGGTAAATTGTATGTTGCTGGGATTTTGTGTACAAATGGTTTTGTCACCCAGGTAGGGAGCATAGTACCTATTAAGGAGTTTTCCAATCCTCACCCTCCTCCTACTCTCCACCCTCAAGTAGGCCTTGGTGTCTATTGTTCTCCTCTTTGCATACGCGTGTACTCAATGTTTAGCTTCCACTTACCAGTGAGAATGTGCAGTATTTGGTTTTCTGTCTCTGCACTAATTTGCTTAGAATAATGGCCTCCAGCTCCACCCATGTTGCTGCAAAGGACATAATTTCATTATTTTATGGCTGCCTACTATTCTATGATGTATATGTACCACGTTTTCTTTATCCAGTCCATTACTGATGGGCATCTAGGTTAATCACATGTTTGTTACTGTGAAAAGTGCTGTGATGAACATCCACATGCATGCATCTTTTTGGTAGAATGATAGGTTTTCTTTTGGCTATATACCCAGTAATGGGATTGCTGGGTTGAAGGGTAGTTCTGCTTTAAGTTCTTTGAGAAATCTCCAAGCAGCTTTCCACAGTGGCTGAACTAATTTACATTCCCATCAGCAGTGTATAAATGTCTCCTTTTCTCTGCAACCTCACCAACATCTATTATTTTTTGTCTTTTTTTATAATCACCATTCTGACAGGTGTGAGATGGTATCTCACTGGGGTTTTGGGTTCCACTTTTCTAATAATTAGTAATGATGAGCATGTTTTTATATGCTTGATTTGTCTTCTTTTGAAAGGTGTCTGTTTATGACCTTTGCTCATTTTTTAATGGGGTTGTGTTTTTTGCTTATTGATTTGTTTAAGCTCCTTGTAGATTCTGGATATCAGATCTTTGTTAGGTGCATAGTTTGCAAATATTTTCTCCCATTTTGTAGGTTGTCTGTTTGCTCTGTTGATTGTTTCTTTTCCTCTGCACAAGCTCCAGTTTAATTAGGCCCCACTTGTCAATTTTTATTTCTGTTGCAATTGCTTTTAGAGTTTCCGTCATGAAATTTTTTCCAAGATCTATGTCTGGAATATTTCCTAGGTTTCCTTCTAGGGATTTTATAGTTTTAGGTTTTATGTTTAAGTCTTTAGTCCATCTTAAGTTGGCTTTTGTATATGGTATAGAGAAGGAGTCCGGTTTCAATCTTTTGAATATGGCTAGCCAGTTATTCCAGCACCATTTATTGAACAGGGAATTGTTCTGCATTGCTTGTTATTGTTGACCTTGTTGAAGATTGGATGGTTGTAGGTATACAGTTACATAGATTGTACCCAAGATGCAGTCATATTAGTGATGGAGGTTAGGATTTTTCCCATGAAGAATCAGGGTAACATTTCACGACACCAGATAATAAGGAGTTTGAAGATGCTTTGAAGATGCTAGATTGTGAAATGGTCAGAGATTGGAATGCTAGATTCCTTAGCATGCTAACTTTTAGCTCTTTTGTAAAAAATATTAGAAATTTTTATTTCTATTTAAGTTGCTCTGTCTCACAAATGATCTTTTTCTTTCATTAATTTATTTTATTCTCATGCATTCACAATTGTGAAAGTGGACCGTAGTGATCATGCTACCAAGAAGTTTTATTACCTATCAGTTAAGTTTTCATACTTTTCTTTATGCAATCTGCACATCTCTGCTGTTTCAAATCTAAAACAAATTATTCAGCGTTAGTACCTTTGCTATATGCTAAACGCACAGTCCAAAAGCTGCTCGTTATTATATAACCAAGCCTACTGAATTCCAAGGATATTGTGATCCAACATTCAGAATAATTGAGAGATTTATCTTTAACAAAGGAAATGCCCCTTTTCAAAAAATTAAATATAAGATAATTGTTTCCTTAGCAAATAATTACCACAGGTTAAACTCAAGGCACTAACAAATAATATGACCTAGGAATATATTATGAGTCTACAGGTGGTTCCTAAGGCCTAGAAGTAAAGAAATTTAATTTTCTCACAGTTTTATTTTCATTAGACACCTTCTTTTTTTTTTCTGAGATGGAGTCTTGCTCTGTCGCCCAGGCTGGAGTGCAGTGGGGCGATCTCGGTTCACTGCAAGCTCCACCTCCTGAGTTCAAGCGATCCTTGTTTCTCAGTCTTCTGAGTAGAGGGGATTACAGACATATGCCATCATGCGCAACTAATTTTTGTATTTTTAGTAGAGATGGGATTTCACCATATTGGCTAGGGTAGTCTCGAACTCCGGGCCTCAAATGATCCTCCCACTTTGGCCTCCCAAAGTGCTGGGATTACAGGCATGAACCACCATGCCCAGCCTCATTAACAGACACCTTCTCTTCTCTACCTCTATTTGACTTTATTTCTAAAATCATTCCAATATTTTTTTTCTAATTTTAACCTATGCTAAATAATTTTTAATTTGGAAAATATATATATTTCAAAAGTTCCATATCATTTAACAAATATTCTTTGAATATCTATCTGATATGTTAGGCTCTAGGCTAAGTATGGGGATACAGAGATAAAGGAAAACCAATCCTCGTTTTCAAGGAGGTTAATGGTGAGGTCGTAATATCAGACACATAGCAAATTCTGTGAGACAAACACTATAGAAGGAATGAATACAAAGTGCTATGACAGCAAAGCACCAACAGAAGACCCCTAACTCAGTCTTAGTGGGGCAGGGAAGTCTTGATAAGGGGAGGTCCAATTGAAGAAGCTTAAAAAGTTTCTTGGAGAGGAAAGGATCAATGAATGAAGCGGTAGGAGAGCACAGCCCATTGTGGCTGTTGTCAGCAGTGTGTGTGGCTGGAGCTTAGATCATTTGTTGGGAAGTATCAGGAGGTAGTTTAGGAGTGGGACATCTCATGGAAGGTTTTCATGCCATAGTGAGAGAACTTTTAGTAAATTAACTGATATATGCCTCTTTTTCTTTATTTTCTTTCTTTTCCTTTTTTTGAGACAGGGTTTTGCTCTGTCAATCAGGCTGAAGTACAGTGGCACGATCATGATTCATCGCAGCCTCACTCTTCTGAGCTCAAGCGAGGCTCCTGCCTCAGCCTCCTGAGTAACTGAAACTACAGGTGCATGCCACCATGCCCAACTAATTTTTCTTATTTTTAGTAGAGATGAGGTCTCACTCTGTTGCCCAGACTGCTCTCGAACTCCTGAACTCAAGCGATCCTCCTGCCTCAGCCTCCCAAAGTGTCAAGATTGCAGTTGTAAGCCACCATGCCCAGCCCCTCTCTCCTTTTCAATTAGCCTAGGAACCGTCCTTCTGTGGCACAATTAGCTAGGATTGTGTATGCCTACTGCTTTAAAGAAGGGCCACTGTGCTCACTTCGGCAGCACATATACTAAAATTGGAACGATACAGAGAAGATTAGCATGGCCCCTGTGCAAGGATGTGACACACAAATTCGTGAAGCATTCCATATTTAAAAAAAAAAAAAAAAAGAAGGGCCACTATAGAAACACTCAGGAAAATAAGATTCCATCAGGATGTAAGCTCTTCAAGAAGACAACTTATTGGCAGGTGTCCTGTGAATCTGTAGCAGATAGTCTATAGTGGAATTCAATGAGTATTTGTTAAATTGATGAAGAATCAGATTCTTGGCTGTTCAGTCTCAAGAACTCATTTTAAGTTATAAGAACTCATGTTCTGGAGTTTCAGGAGTCCCAATGTCTCAGATAATCAAGTTAA